CTCATCACATACCATATCCTTAGTAATATCTTCCTTAGTCTTCAGGCCTGAAGTATGCTTGTATCAGTGAAATTGTAATAGTATTAAGAAGATACAGTACCAATGCTGTAGCATACACTGGACTAGGACTAACATTATCATATCCAACAATGAATCCTATTATACTGGCAGTAATGTATGGAGACAGTGATACCAAGTGTGCTATAAGTAATGATCCTAATATCCCAATGAGATTACACACTTTGTGATTGTAAGCACTGTCACGCATCCTCTCCTGCTCATTGTTGAATGGATAAGAGCTTTTATTAGACTCCCTTCTTCTTTGTAAGAACTGTCTAGTGTGGATAAACGTTCATACAGAAATGATGATATTGCATTTGACTGAATAGCTACTGAGGCAGGTTTGCAATTTGATTTTTTTTTGCATTCATTTACGCCCACGCTATTTAAAGGGTGGTGCTAATAAACTAGCCCCACCTACATTCCAAGTAACTACTCCCCCTTAAATGGCTGAATCAGTTTTGGATCCTATTTTTATTGGAAGGACTTTAAGTGAGTGAATATTTACAATAGTTATTATTTTATTGTAATATCATTGCTGTAGACATTAGAGATCTTAATGAAGTGATTGCTTTACTTGAGAAACATCACTGCAGCAAGGCATCATATCATAAACTTGGTCTGCGTCTTAAATTGTCTCACAATACACTGGAGAAAGTAAAGAAAGACCATGGAGAAGTTGATCTTTGCTTTACAGAGTGTTTGGCTAGCTGGTTGCGTAAAGCTGATGGTGTGGAGACTCCAACAATAGATACACTGATAGCTGCTCTTAGAGGAATAGGAGAGAATGCTGTAGCTGATGGTATTAATGAAGAAAGACAAAGTGAGATATAAATCTATTGCTTTGTACCTAATGCTTTTTTATTGAATACTTTTAGTTCATAATTTGGCAAGAAGTGAAATTACTAGTATAAATCAAGACGACCCAACAGCCACATCTACATTGGAAATCAATGAAGGTAAATTTTAGACTTGGTTCGGTTTTTAATTTTTTTCTTTTCATCTTCAGATCGTTCACATGAACCAGTAGTTCTAGGTATGTTCTCAGTACTTGATGAAATTTAAATTTTAAATTATTACAGATACAATTTATAAAAGTTATAGATTATTTTGTTGCTTAAGACGTTACCATAGTTAGCATAACTATTTTGTGTACATAAGTCTAATAATTTTACCATTAAGTATTTTGGAGGATGTGTTTATAATGTCCATTGAAAATCTTTAATTTAATTTGTGCTCTTGTTTTAGGTGTGCATGATGTACATGAAATGGAAAATAGAATACATCGTCCTGAACTACATCTAATTGCTTCTTCTTTGCAACAGAAGTATTATGACTTGGTGGTGGATGTGAGACAGTCACTAATTCATCACAATGTTGATATCAAAGGGATTAAATTGCTCATTGAGTTATATTTGAAAGGAGAAACTCGAAATCATCCAGTGCTGAAAAAATATCTTGATCCTCTTCGGAAGATTCATGATTTCGATAGTTTGTTTCATTTCCTAATTGATAATCACTTCATTGGTTATCTCAACTATAATCTGTTGAAAAGAATATCAAAACATATTTCACAAGATGTTAGACTTATGAATCAAGTCGATGACTATGAAAAAAAGTATGCTGAGCTACTTAATGAAATTTTCTGCAATGATTTGGTACATTTGTTTAACGAATGGTCCCACCTTTCTCCCAATATTCCTATTGGTTTGCCTTGTATCTCTTTTCGTCTTGGTTCCCCTTGGTTCCATTCTAAATTTTACACCTGGTTCTCAACCTTTGGTGAATTTTCATGGTCATATTTTGCGTTTCTTAAACAGTTAAGAAGGAACTGTATTATCATCACTTATGCTATACTACCATGTGTTCTTGATGATGTCATGAGAGATCTCAAGGATCCAGTGATATTAAAGAAGCTAAAGGACAATGACGTTACTGTATTTGAATTACCACAAGAAGAGGAAGGTACATATAAGATAATGCAGTATATAAAATTATTTTTAGTTTTCTTTTTTACAGAAGATTTTGAGGGCAAGGAAGAAGGTACATGTGTACCTTTATATAGCTTTTATTACAATTATTTTTTATAATTGATGCTTCTTCAGTCATACAGACCACATTATCTGAGGGACACATTCCCACCACAAGTACTACTACTTTGGTATGTGTAGATGTAATTACTATTGTATAATGGAAAATTTTTGTTTTACGAAGCCATTCAAAAATAAATTTTGCAGCTTTAATTTTCTACAATTCAGCCATCTTGAACGTTATTAAATCAATTTTTGCAGATTTTATTTGTGAATTTCGAAAAAGCTGCAATATCCATGAAAATTTTGTGCCACAAAAATTTTTTGCTATGCAGTAGTACTGTCTATACTGAGTTATGGTATAAGAGGATTGCATAGCAAAATAGGTCATACAAGGAGACATACAGTATAGTAGGAATATTTGGTAGCATATAATATTGATGATTCCATTATTGCAATGTATTGGTAGACTTTATTGTGTAAATGAGAAATACCTTAATCTTTTAGACAAGTGAAGCTAATACTCAACAAGAAGTGTCTCTTTTTAAACAGAGGCCCGAGGTTGCATCAATTAGGAAAGAAGTTAAAAGCTCCAGTCTGGTATGAATATATATTACAGCTTTATGTAATTGCATATGTAGGACAGAGAATTGATGAGGTCTATAGAGTCTCATAGTAAACTTGAGGAGGTTATTGGTCTACTTGAAGCTGGAGCTGATCCTAATGTTACTAAGGTTTGTAGCTGTATGTACTGTAATTTTAAACTTATTATAATAGTATTCTGGTGGTCCTTCTGCTGTTATTATAGCCACCGAAAAGAATAACATTGGAATTGTTGAAGTGCTACTTGAAAAAGGAGCTGATCCTAATGTTACTGAGGTTTGTAGCTGTACATGTATCTACTGTAATTTTAAATTTGTTATAATAGTATTCTCGTGGTCCTACTGCTCTTATTAAAGCCATCAAGAAGAATAACACTGGAATGGTTGAAGTGCTACTGAAAAAAGGAGCTGATCCTAATGTTACTGAGGTTTGTAGTGTATATACTGTAATTTTAAGTTTGTTATATTAGTTTTTTGGTGGGCGTTTTGCTCTTATTATGGCCATGGAGAAGAATAATGTTGAAATTTTTAAAGTGCTACTTGAAAATGGAGCTGATCCTAATATTGGTTTTGATACTGTAAGTTGCCAGTGTTATGATACAGTTATAAGTAGCAGCAATTGGCAGCAGCCAATGCATGTACGTGTATGCATGCACAGTACATATAGGATTAGACTATTTCTGAAAAAGATTAAGCATGTTAGCTTTTTAACTAGAGGATTATTCAAATCAAACTATACATTCATGTACCATGCATGTAGGGTTGTTAATTTTTGAGGGTCCAATATTTTGCATTCTCTCCAAAATTTTTAGAACTAATATGTGACCATAATTGACAAAAGGTACCTTATGGTGGGTAGTGAAATGTGTCTTTATAGCCATAAAAATCCAACTCTCTGAGCTCCATTTATCATAAAATTACTCCACAGTGTGCAAAAAGTTACTATGTAACTTTTAGAAACAATGTTTGTGCAATGGAGCACTCATAGGTTGATATTTTTCATTATAATGATGAATTTTAAAATTCGCCATAAGGTACCTTTTGTCAATTATGGTCACATATTTGTGGGTACAAATACTGATGCATGGTATTTGGTAAGCTTCTACCAGGGATATAATAGACTAACGTAACCGGGATTGGTTACGGACCGGAAATCAATTATCAGACTCTGTTATTATTCATTAAATTAATGGCAGCAATCAATGGCATCTTAGCAAAATGGCTGAATGTAAATTGTTATAACTAAAAAACCAGCAACATGGAAAATACAAAAACAACTTTAAACAATGTAAAAACATGTAAAGGGTCTCTTTATTGTAGTTTCATAGCAATAGAATGTAGTCTATTCT